GCCAATGCGTGTCCACGCGTTTGTCACCTCGAAGCGATGTTAGGGCAAGCGGGAGGAATAGAGGGCTTCGTAGCAGCTCACGGGTTATTGCATCCATGACAAAGCCCAGACCCCCTGTGTGTCAATCTGGCGATAGGCATCATCACATGGACGCAGGTAGATTATCTATTTCCATCACGCCGGCCTCTAAAGATACATTATACCTACCGCGTCCGAGGTATATGTCATTCGGGCTTACTCTTGGCACGTAGATGGCCTTGCCAGCAGTGTTGGAGAGGGATGGAGGGGTCATGCTGACATGACCCACCCATCCATGCTGGGTTTTTTATTCTTTAAAAAACCCAGCAAAAATGTCACAGCAGGTGTGTCCATGTTGGCCGTGCACGTGAGGGAAATGTTATTCCTGTATTTAAGAACGATTCATTTATGGCAAAGTGTGGTGGCGCAGATGACATTGCCTTTCGGTCTTGCACGTTACTCAGGGCTTAATCTATCACTCGATACCTTCCGGAACGCTGCTAGACTGACTTGGAGTAGGGATTATCGCCACAAGGCACTATCACTAGAATACTGCAAGCAACGCATATCCATCGATGAGAATACTATATTATTCTACATTAATATCCTACTAATCTGTTCATAGAAATTAAATGCTGACTAAGAGAAGATGCATGTGGCATGCCACATTAATTTCCGGAACAATGTTCTGGACCGCTCCGCTTGAAATTAAGCACTGGTGTCACGAGTGAACATCCTTCCCCATCGAATTACATTGAACTCGTGTGATAAGTGTGTGTAGCAACGGTGCGTGGTGGCGCTGCGATTTCACGCACGGCACCGCAATAGTCGGGAGAAGCGAATTCTATTTCCTGGCCATAGTTATCTAAACTTGTCCTGGGCCACCACCCCCCCTACCCTCTCGTCTACTCAGCCTTAAATGAGCAAGCGATTGTGGTGGGCTGACTACGACACTCGCGAGGTCATCTCGGGCGTGGTGCCAGCGTTATCACCCAGCTTGACACAGCAGTCGATAGGGGATGCGCGTCTGTGTGCGCGCGTGTCTTTTGTTTGTAGGATGTGCAACGGAAAGTCCAAAACTCTCGTGGTGGCATTAAGCGCTTCTGTGGATGTAACAGCTCTCTCTCTCTCGTGATCTGTGCCTGGAGACAAACGTTAGCTCGGAAGCCAGTAAGACCACAGGCATATAGTACCACACATCTGACCGGTGTATGTCCAGACTACATGATAATGTTTTAAGGGAGAAAAAAAACATTTAGACAACAACACCAGATTGGACATTACGAAGAAAAACAATAGATATAGACAACACAAGAGAGAGAGAGACAATAGAAACAAACAATAGGTCGACGAACTATGGAGAGGCAGGCAATGGACAACGCGGGCGAGGCGGAGACACCGGAAAGAGGCCCAGCTCCAGCTTCGGGGCCGGCACAGGTCCACGGCGGTGCGGCCTCCCTCCGGCCCCGGGAGAGGGACGGGGGAGACGGCGGCTGTCGCCCTGGGGGCTCCGCGGGCCCCAGCGGCCTCGTCAAGGAAGGGGCCGAGGCAACGTCTGCTGGATCCGAGCAAGTGGATGCGTTATTCGCGAGGAAGGTAAATGTCACGTTGGAGGATATGTGATGATGATGGTGGTGGTGGTGATAGTTGTTGACGGTTGTTGTTTGTTGCGATGGTAGGTATGGTGATGGTCGTGATGGTTCTGATGGTTGATGGTTGTGATGGAAGTGGTGGTTGTTGTGATGGTTGTAAGGGTTGTGATGGTGTGATGGTGATGGTCGTGATGGTTCATATTGTTGTGATGGAAGTGATGGTTGTTGCGATGGTTGTAAGGGTGATGATGGTTGTGATGGTGATGGTTCTGATGGTTGTGATGGTGGTGGTTCTGATGGTTGTGATGGTTGTAAGGGTGATGATGGTTGTGATGGTGATGGTTCTAATGGTTGTGATGGTGGTGGTTCTGATGGTTGTGATGGTGCGATGGTGATGGTCGTGATGGGGATGGTTGTGATGGTGATGGTTCTGATGGTTGTGATGGTGGTGGTTCTGATGGTTGTGATGGTTGTAAGAGTGATGATGGTTGTGATAGTGATGGTTCTGATGGTTGTGATGGTGGTGGTTCTGATGGTTGTGATGGTGCGATGGTGATGGTCGTGATGGGGATGGTTGTGATGGTGATGGTTGTGATGGTGATGGTTCTGATGGTTGTGATGGTGGTGGTTCTGATGGTTGTGATGGTGCGATGGTGATGGTTGTGATGGTGATGGTTGTGATGGTGATGATTGTAATGGTGATGGTTCTGATGGTTGTGATGGTGATGGTTGTGATGGTGATGGTTGTAAGGGTGATGATGGTTGTGATGGTGGTGGTTCTGATGGTTGTGATGGTGATGGTTGTGATGGTGATAGTTGTGATGGTGATGGTTGTGATGGTGATGGTTGTGATGGTGATGGTTGTGATGGTGATGGTTGTGATGGTGATGGTTGTGATGGTGATGGTTGTGATGGTGATGGTTGTGATGGTGATGGTTGTGATGGTGATGGTTCTGATAGTGATGGTTGTGATAGTTGTGATGGTTGTGATGGTGATGGTTGTGATGGTGATGGTTGTGATGGTTTGTATTTTGTGTGTGGGAACCGGTGGCGCATTACACGCGATTAACACAAAGCGGCGAAAAAAATTAATTTGCGACCTCTTCCAATGGGGGGAGGAAGGGCCCCAGCAGTTTTGTGAGCAGAGACCACGCAGGCAAGAAAACTCTCTAGCCCCGACTTAGTACATGGAAATCGGCCATGAATACTCGTTATAACCAAATCGTCAACTCGCCACAAGCACTGGCTCAAACCCTAACCAGCCTCTTGCTGACCCTAACCAGCTATCCATCGTGCAGTGGGGATACAAAGGCGGTTGGGGAGGGCGTTTGTGGGACTGAAACCATCAAGTCGTTTTGTAATAGGTAAGTTGTGTAATAGACAAACGCTAATATTAAATTAACATTGTTTTTTTTACCAGGTAAGGCCCACTGAGCTATATAGGTCGGCTCAGCGTAAAGTTAGCACTTGGTGGGTTGGTGTGTAGATCATCAATCCTCGGGAGACAAAAACGGTTGGGCATGGAGTCAGTCGCACCAATCTCACCTGGTGTGCCGTGCGGGTCTCAATCAGTGGACGTTAAAGAGCCCCAACTTATATGTGTGCTGTGTGTACCAGGGGCGGAGCCACAGGGGGGGCTGGGGGGGGGCTTTGCCCCCCCCCCCCCCCTGAAATTTGGGAAAGTCGGTAATCTGGATAACCGGATATCCGGCTGCTGCAAAATGCTGCAGGCTGCCACCTTGTGCTGCCCTGCAGGCTGCTTGAGCGGCAGCCTTTCGAACTTATCAAACTTATTAGCCACATCAGCGGCTCCGACCTATTGATAAACTCCGCGTTCAAATCTAATAAAACTAGTTTTATACATTTGTGGCACCCATTGGAAAACATAAACACTGGATATCTCAGAATATTGAAGTCAGCCCCCCCCCCAAAGTCAAAATGCTGGCTCCGACCCTGGTTTGTACAATAGATATTAAACACACACACAAAGCACTAAAACTATTCTCCCCTTGTCGCCGATTGGCATTCGATTGCAGCTATAATAGAGGTTAGATCGCGTAAATATGTGTCGTTAAAACCCGCCACCACCCGACACAGCCAACTAGTAAGGGTTGTCACGTAAACAGAACGTGCCAATTCGTCACTAGTACAGCACACCGGCGTGTTGAAGAGCCAAGCTGCAATATTTACAATCTGAGTATGACGTTTCGCCGGTAATTATAATTAGCTTCATCACACGTTTATATATTTACGCGATCTAACCTCTATTATGGACGATATTGGTCGCGAAAGCCTACGTGTTAAACGGATTAGAGCTGTTAGATAATGTTATTGTATGTGTTGCGTGTCGTTACGTTGAGTCGGGTGATTGCCTTACGTGCCATCGGCGTGAAATATAGAGACACGAAACGCGTGTATCAAATGACTCAGGCGGGCAAGGTCTCCTCCCGTCACCCACAGCCTCGCGGATGGAATGCGTACAAACCCAGTGTCAAATCCAAACACGTTCTTGAGCCGAGGAGGCGATTCAAGCCAGCCAGATAGAAGGGGGAAAACACACACACAAACAAACATGCATGCATGCGCTCACCGATTCCCCCACCTATGTTAAGGTTGAGGCCGCGGTCAAATCGACTGGACTGTTTCGTCTCATCCACAGTATGTTCAGCTACCACACTGCAGGTCATAACAACAATACACTCACCACACTGTCGGTCACAACAACAATACACTCACCCACTCACCACACTGCAGGTCACAACAACAACAATACACTCACCCACTCACCACGCTGCAGGTCACAACAACAATACACTCACCCACTCACCACACTGCAGTTCACAACAACAATACACTCACCCACTACTCACCACACTGCAGGTCACAACAACAATACACTCACCCACTCAACACACTGCAGGTCACAACAACAACAATACACTCACCCACTCACCACGCTGCAGGTCACAACAACAATACACTCACCCACTACTCACCACACTGCAGGTCACAACAACAACAATACACTCACCCACTCACCACGCTGCAGGTCACAACAACAATACACTCAACCACTCACCACACTGCAGGTCACAACAACAACAATACACTCACCCACTACTCACCACACTGCAGGTCACAACAACAATACACTCACCCACTACTCACCCCACTGCAGGTCACAACAACAATACACTCACCCACTACTCACCACACTGCAGGTCACAACAACAACAATACACTGACCCACTAGTCACCACACTGCAGGTCACAACAACAACAATACACTGACCTACCTCTCACCACACTGCAGGTCACAACAACAATACACTCACCCACTACTCACGACACTGCAGGTCACAACAACAATACACTCACCCACTACTCACCACACTGAAGGTCACAACAACAATACACTGACCCACCTCTCACCACACTGCAGGTCACAACAACAATACACTCACCCACTACTCACCACACTGCCGGTATTGAATGCAGTATTGGGTTCTCTGCAAATACTCAGAGCAGCACATGTTTAAAAAAACACAGTCCACGTAAAATTGGCCTAACATCCCAATATGGTAATAGCACATCATGGGGTGGTACTGCTGCGTCGGGAGTGGCGCACAAGCACAGCTAACAAAGGGCTCAACAACACTGCGTTAAAAGACAAAGGTATATAGCCAGCGACGTTTCGGGCAATTACCCTTTTTCAGAGCACAAAACAGTATCAGCAAGATCAACCTGCAAATTACGATCGAGACACCAGTTAAACATTTGTAAATTAAAAAAAAACACGAAATATTACCGGAGTGTTATATTCGTGGCCGCTGTGTTTGTGCCCGCGGGCTTAATGCGCAGAGAGAGAGAGAGCTCTTTCCGTCTGTGTTTCGCCATCGATGCAACCAACCCCAGCAGTGAGTGCTTTGAGCGACTAAAATACATATCTCGAAGCGACAGATTGGTGCGCCTCGCTGGCGAGATGCCAAGACACTGCACGCGATGGCGTGGAGGAGGGATCGATGGGTTCGCTGGGTTCATCACCATTGTTTGCGTTGCCATCCGATTTGTGTTGCATTACAAATCGGATGGGTGGGGTAGGGGTGGGAACCGGTTAATACCGGTTTGCCGCACATAGACGTCTCAGGCTCCGGAGCCGCGCGCGGTTCTTTAGGGACTGCTTCGTGACGTCATTCACATGACATTGCAGCTCTTGAAATATTTCATTATTTTTGTTGTTGTTACCCGAATGGCTCTTCTTGTTATTTTGGTTTCCGACCCCCCCTCCCCACCCCTGGTCTAGAGCGATGGACTCTCACAGTTTTAGCTTTAAAAGAAACTGAGAAACGTACGTAGAGATTCTGCTTTGGTGTAAGATTTAGCAGCAATGCTGTAATTGCAATCTCAGAGGTTCGCTTGCTCGATTCGGCCAACGGAAAAATGTGTTAAAAGCCCCCGCCGCCACCCCGGCCGGTATACTGATTGGGTGCTCCGCAGTTCATCGAGTGGCAGCGTTGCATGCGCTGGGCTAAAGTGCGGGTTTAGGTGGCACCGTCTGTCAATGCGCCCGGTGAGCGCGGACGTGGCAAAACGACGCAGCCCTGTCCAGCTGTTCCCTCTAGCGGAGGCCCTTTCCACCTGCAGCGGCGTTGAGCGAGCAATTTGCAATTGCTGCGAATTTTACATTTGCAATACGCGGGGGGCGGGCGGGGGTGTGCAGTGCCGGATTAAGTGAGTGCGGGGCCTGTAGCATATGTTATAAAGGGGCCCTAAATAATAATAAACACTTAAAACATTTTTTTTACTTGCATAGTAAAGTCATTGTATTTTTTTTATTTGCTATACAGCCAGATAATACGACAAATTGCTAACCTAAAACACCCAGTCGTCGTACATAAAAGTTGAAGGCGGTATAGTACTATAGTTATAGGGCAAGTGCAGAGTCACTGAACCGGAATTGATAGCTTGAAAGCATTTAGCGCGGGGGCCCTTGAAAGCGCGGGGCCCGTATCTACATGTGGAGCTACTTTTGCTACTGGGATAATTCGACACTTGGGGGTGACTTAAATCATCAGGCAGCTGTCGGCCGTAGGTGCCGTCATTTCTGCCGCCGCTGGCCAATCGGAGTCGCACGCGCCACGTGCCGCTTGTTGCGTCCGCGCGTGCCACTCCGTTGCATTAATTCCTCCACTCCGCCGCGGACGTACGCTGGACTTCTATCGCACCGTACATAGCCAACCGTGCTCGTCGGAGGTGCGGCTGAAGGACAACAAACTAAAGGCAAAAAGGAGTTCGAAATAAATGAGTACGGGCAAAGTTGCCAGACGAATATATTGAATTTCAATTTTTAGCCCGACACAAAAGCCTTCAGTGATGGAATCGCCTACGCGCGTTTTGTATTCGAGACGAAGTGTACCCTGAGATTTACCGATACTTGGATTAAATCGCCGTCATGACGCCGAGTACACGGGGCCATTCATTCACCTGACAGGAAGCTTTCAATTGGCATGAGCACGTGTTCACATTAATGTACATTTTCTGCCTTTGCTATTAACAATGGGAAATATCCGTGTTTCTCCAATGGAGAAATCGTAGTGTCGTCTTTGTTGAACCATTTCCCCTGACCCGATGCCTCTCTATAATGTGCTGACAGTGCAAAGAGCTGGAGGGCTTTATAAAGCCTCTCACAGCCATTCTGAACGGACTCAAGAACGGACGCTACGGGAAAGGTGAGCCCTTGATGTTAATTAAACACGGAGCATAATATGAAGCGTTGTGTCTTTAGAACTTATCCCTTTCATTACGCAGGCAGCCATTTCCCCAAACTACCGCATTTATTTTGCATGACAATTCCCATACAAATGTCATGATTATTTATTCAGGCGGCTTCATCACACGTTTGTGATCCAAAATGTGGTTTGTATTTAGCCTGTCTGGCCAGGACACTCTCTGTATTCCCAATATATTTGTGACTGCCACAGTGTGCCAGAGTTTGAGTAGAGATCTGTTTTTTCATTTAAGCTCCTGTACAGATAAGGTGGCCCGGTGGCTCCAAGGTCAGAGCCACTGAGCTGGTACCGCTGGGATCGAATTCAGGCGGCTGCCCTGTGGTTAAAACCGGGTTCTCGAGTCTCGCGAGTTCATGGTCTTGACTGCAGAAAAAATACAGCATTGCATTAATGTTGGTTCTGCACTCAACTTTGCTCAATTCCAGCTTTGAGAATTTGAATGTCAGTAGCAGAGTTGTTCGAAAAGTGCTGCCCTCCATTGTGTAGACCAGAGTTCACTTGAAGTACTTACCAATACCCCGAGCTGTTCTTTATCCCTAATTAATGCATTGTTTTGGAAGATATATAAATGAATAATTTGTCTTATTAATTGATATCGTTAGCACAATCGAGATAAAAATGTTAAAGTGGCAAAACAAATTAACTTCCATGCAGAGGTCTGTTCACCACCTGCATGCAATTATGAAATCACTGAATCCCAGAATAAAACAAAAGTGTTTTTCTTTTGTTGAAATTAGCGAGTAACTTTTCACTGCTGGGTAAAGGGTTCCCCCATTTTCTTCCATCCCTTCCTTTTCTCCGTTGTTCTAGTCAATGAGTGGCCTCTGTACTCTTTGGTTTTGTATCATGAATCTCTTCTGTTGCTCTGCGTCTTTTGTCATCTCTCCGCATCAACTCTGGAGCTATTTATGCCCATCTCTCGTCAGCTGTTCTCATGATTCCTTACCCTGTCTTTTTGACTTATTTTTCTTTCGAACCTCTTAACATTCCAGGGCTCAGTGGTCTGCAGCAGAACGTTGCCATTGACCGGATACAGAGGATTGTGGGAGTGCTGGAAAACCCAGGCATGGGGTGAGTTTATGTATTTAACATTTTTCTCCGTAATGTCTGAACTGTTCTGACGTGAGAGCTAATAAATTCACAACCCACGCTGAGCAGCACTCACAAGGAACATCCAGTGGGTGATACTGACGCCCAATCGGTGCGCTGTGGCACCACAGGCAGGCCGTGTTCACTTTAAGCTATTGCACGCAAATGGGCGTTACAGGCTGCTGTGGGGCTAACATTGTGCACAGCTGAGAGCATTATAGCACAATCCATTGCTGTGCTGTATTATGCTCCCACGTACATGCTCCCACGTACATGCTCCCAGCCTCCAACCCGCAATGACTGGCGTAGAGATGTATGGTCAAACGCCTTGGTTGACATGGCATGGGGTGGGAGACACCCATCCAACAGTGCAATGAAAAAACGTCTGTCATTTGCATTGATGGTGTGCTATTTTATTAACAGGCACTTGTGTCTGAGCTGCTTTAACTGTAAACTACTGCATGGAGAGTGGGCTGCTGTATCAATGGTCGTGTGCGGCCTGTCCTTGCAGTGGGAAGTACCTGGCCACCCTCCAGCAGGTGGAGATGATGCTCAAGGCCTGGTTTCCCAAGGTAAAGCCTCAGTCATCAACCAGCGTCGAGCGAGCGCAGGTGACCAACTGCAGGGCTGCACGTACGTGCAGAAACACCGCCCTTTGGGGTTCTCATCAGTTGAATGCAAACGCGGGTCTCCTCTCGACAGCTGTGGTGTGCTGGCCGTTTGGGATCAGGATGAAAGACGGGTAGAGCTGGGAAATCGGATTATTTGAATATTCGTTTACCGGTTTGACCAGTCCGATTGCACGAAATTAATTCGGGTGTGGGGGAGGAGGGAATCACCTTTGTTGTTTGGAATTAGATCAACAACAAAAAGTTATGTGAAGATGTCCTGTAAAAAGTGGCTTATTGTGAGTCAATGTTTTAGTGGTTGGTTAATTTCTTCATACACTTAATCGACTTCATCATCATGGCTTGTTGTCGGGGCATACATTTGAATTACATTTTATTCGTACAGAATAGAGTCTTAAGATTAACTGGGTAACTCTGTGTAATGTACTGTTGAGACCGAAACTCTATGGCTGATCATTGATGATGATTATGATGGATGACTGATGATTGACGATGGTGAATGATTGATGGCGGTGGATGATTGACAATCGATTGTGATGGCAATATCTTACAAGACTAATTTGTTTGCTTGCAGAATGTACACCCTAATTCTGACTCAGGAAGTCTTCCCCATGACAGGCTAAACGGCGATGCAGCGAGCCCAAATCCAAAATTAACAATCGCAAACCACTGCCAAACCTTGCAGAGCAATGCGGCTTTGGCGTTTGTGACGGCAAAAGACCCACATCAGGATCACAGTGAGGAAAGCACAATCGCTCTCAAGGGCATGCCCCCAACCAACCTCACGTGGACGCACGTTGCCCCTACCGTGTGCCCGGAGCTCGGCGAGAAGGCATCGTACCCCACGTCGACTAGTGGCATCGCTCACTCTGCCACGGGTTCTCACGTGCTGCCGGATTCCGGTGCGCAATTCCGCCGGTGCTGCAGCCTGCCCACGTCACTGGGCAGTGCGGAGTCATTGCCACGCATTTCTCAAGGAATATCGCCCAGCCACGCCAGCACTTCCCCCAGCTCGGCCAACGTCTTTGTCCCGTTAAATCACCGACCGGTCGCAGACTGCGCCCACCCCCAAGACGGACGCAAGGGCACAAGGTCACCATCCTCTAAGGCACGCGATTTGGCAGGACCGAGAGAACTCTGGGCGGAGCAGGCACCTGCTGCTGCTGCTGCTACTACTGAAGCAGCCATGGGCCAGGACGCAGTGGGGCTGCACTCGTTGCCACGCTTTTCCCAACAGCGGGAGCTTGATGCCTCGCATACTCGCAGGGCGCCAGCTCCAAGCGACTGGTTCAGCCTCAATAGTTGCTACGAGCGTGCGGGGGACATGCACGGCGGCATGAATCGCAAGAGAAGGCCCGCAGAGTCTGTAGCCCCTGGAACCCTTGTCGTGCCACGGCTCAAGATGGCACGGCAAAAATTCGAAATCCCATCTCCCCCCCACGAGCGTGGGCACAACATTTAACAGGTTGCTAAACACAATACGGCAGTTGTAGCAATATACTTTTCTCAAAAAAAATGTAAACTACTTTTATGCAACCGTTATCTCAGAAGCCTTGAGTGGCAATCTTCTTGATGTGAAACCTTTTTTTACACTTGCCGATCATTTTATATTCATACAAATCGTATTATCAACAGCATATTAAATAAAAACTGCATTTTCGTGAATGGAATTTTAGATTAATGTAACCCTTCCAGTGCTATATTATTGGCCGTAGTGTAGTGTATGATGCAGTCTATTTATACTGCACGAAATGGCACGGTAAAAGTTTTCACTGTTTTGTTTTAAAATGTGTTGTCTTACAAAGTAATATTTTCATTATTCCTAAATTTTTATACACTGCTAGTGAGCCAAGTACAGAGGACATTTGTGAATGCGATTTGACGATTGCTTCTTCGTGGACAATACAAATGTACTTTTGCTCACTATTTCACGACATTGTAATTGTGAAAACAATGGTTACGTATTTTATAGTTTCACATTCGATGTGGTGCAAGGTAAAGATTAGTGCATGTTAGCTGCACCGGTGTTCATGAAAATTTGTGGATCGTTTGTGTTGGGTGCAGCCTTCACGTTGCTGTAATTCGTAAGTGAAAATAAATCTTTTTTTAGCCACTTTAATAGTCTGTCTGTCTACAAGCTCTAAACAAGAAATATATTTACAATAGCCTCATTACTTAAGAGGCTTTGATATCGCAGATATCAACATTGATTCACCACTCAACTCAAATGTTGTAATCAAGAATCATTGTGCCGAGCCGTGGAACTTTATCGGTAAAAGCAAACACCATCAACTCCTCCATTGTCTCGAATTAAAATTGTAATCAAGTCCATCAGCCAATTTTCCAACATTTCAATAAGATGAAGCCACTGGAGCTGTGCACTTTGAAATCTAGATTTCTTTAGAACAGCTATTTGTGTTACGATTTGTCCCCTCCCCCACACCTCTGATTAGCGCTTGGTGTAAAAGACGTTGAACATTCATCCATCCAGCAACATTTAAGCAAGCAAACTTATGGACCAGTTTCAAGAGTTTGCTTGCTTTGGAAAATGATGGATATTGGTCTGCAGCCAATAGTGATGGACGAAAAGTTTTAGTCCATCACTCGATTGGCAAATCAAATGTTTTAGTCTTAAACAAATTGTATGTATGTGGAGACAGGCATTCTCATATGTTCAAACCTAGTTGGCTAAATAGGCCAATACCTTTACAAGTAGAGTATATCGCTTTCTGGTGATGTAAGGGTTAAAGCATTCATTTTATATACAGTACATGAAATAAAATTATGTAACATAGCTAACTTACAGCGTGAACAAACCGAAACTGCCTCCTATGACTCATGTATGTCTTTCTTGGCTCATTAATTGGACCACTTCCCTTGAACTAATTCTCTTCATCAATGCATTTCAGTGCCCTAAATAGCAATGGGAAAAGCGAAACCACGACTCCACGACAACCATTCACCTCGAACCACTGCAGACTACGCCAGCACATTTAAATAAGTTGTCACGCTCTTCCAATACCTCATTCGTTTTTATTTCATTTACCATTGTTACAACACTTTCAAGGCCATACCAATTTTTGTTTTCTCACGAAACATAATAAAACATTTCAAATAACACAATGATCCTGACAAAATAGCAATCAGCATTGAAGAATAACAATTACTATTTTTGGTCCATTTGAAGGCTCCTCTTTGGCTGATCTGTGAATATCCTTAAAGAATTGCCCCGACAGGGAGAAGTCCCTGCCTTGAACAGGTGGTGAGCCGCTCGCCACCTGACAACTATCCGGGCAGCTAACCAAAGCAACACGGTATTTTCTGTTCTATTACTATCTGCACATTGGTGGGAGCACACACAAAACATACGCCACGTGATCGGCAAATTGTATGAACTACGTACATTATTTATTAAGAGGACAGTGTTTTTATATAAATATTAAAATTCTGGATATCAAGTGCATGAATACCTGTTGAATAAATGGTGAAGATATATGTAAACATGATGTACTGGTTTTTCAACAGAATGCTCATCACAATTTGCGTTGATTTAACTCCCCCCTTCCATAACACACACACACACACTATATATATAATTGCACACAATACTGGAGACGGAACTCATTCCCACTGCACAACAAGCATCGTGACTTCCCATTAGCCCCCCAAAGATCGCGCTGCCCTGCCATATACTGTCGTCATATTCAAGGGTGAGAAGGGTCAGGAAGTTTAATTAATAATGCATAGAAAGTATAAACTGGTACCCACAAAAAAGTGTTTCAGTCCGGTGTGCACAGAATACTTCGTCAAAGGTTATCTTCACGACGATTGAGCAGACAGACCCCGGTCTGGACACTTACACGAGGTTCGTGTCCTCTTGGGTGCGACATCACTGAGAACAAAAACGCTGTTTTTAATGTTGCTCTCAAGCTTGTCCTCAAATTGACTATTCCCTACGATTCCTGTATTATAACAGGCTACTGCAACCCACCATAGAGTACGTTCATTTAAAAAAAAGTGACTTTTTGTTTTACAATCCCATAATTAAATTTTAAAATATGCCTGGTCATACAGTGTATTCAAAATAAAATTATAAAGCTTTAAAAAAAATATATATGCACGACAATTACATTTAATATAGTCTGTGTGTGTAGCGGTGACAAAAAAAAAGTTGAATTTAAATATACATCGATCTCATGCTCACTAAATATATATTTACAATAGTCCTATTTTGCCCACAGGTTTTGAAAAAAACCCAAACACAGTAGTTGAACTTCCAGAATACATGCACATCAACACAAATTTGTCTATCCCAATTAAATACTGTAAACGCGTTTGCACTTTGATCACTTTAGTGTCAAGTCGAGGCTTAGGGGAGTTGCTGCTGCGACGTTCTGCTTTTGTCTCTGCTGCTGCCGCCGCCGCCGCTGCTGGGCAGAGCATCACGCGACGTCCCGATCTTTCCGCGCGCGTCGCTCGAGCGCCCACTGCATGCTCCACACGCTGAGTGGCCGCATGTAGGCGAGCGAGCGGAACACATCTTGCTCGCAATACGCCTCAGGCGTCTGGAAAGCCATGCCCAGCCGCTCCCACACTGTGCGGTATGTGCCCTCGGCCGTCTTGAAGCCTTCCTCTGTCAAGCCCTGGAAACGTGCAACACAACCGCTCACTTATTGGGTGCTTTGTACACACGTTGCCACAAGCAGATGGTCGATGCATGCTCCCCCCCCCACCCCCCCCCCCCCCCCCAACGTGTGCCTTCAATTCACAACGAAGCTCCTCAGCATGGCTGAAGATGCTCCTAAATTCAAGTTAAAGAGGTCATCAAGGACAATGCCATCGATTCCAATGAATATCGCCATTGCTTCCTTCTTGCTGCCATATTCCACAGCATTTGCGGTCAATACTGAACATCCAAGATTTGAACTTAGTGTCCCATGCAAGTGGCGTCCCCTCGGTGTGCCCCTATTTTCTCGGTCCCAGAAAAGTCACGATCCAAATCTCATGTTAACTGCAGCTTCAGAGTTATAGTTATTTGTTATATTTGAAAAGTATTCCAGTTAATGTTGATGTAATTTTACTTATGGAATGGTTTTCCAAATGTAACTGAATGAGACATATAGTTTCCCCATTTTACTTCTCATATTCAAACCAAAATAAACAGGTTATACCACCGACGCTGAAATGGTATTAAGGATTGATTCACACAAAAATTAACTCGAACAAGTACAACAAAACAAAAACAGAATGCTTATTTGATGCATAAACAAAGACTCAACGCTACAATGCACCATTTGTTTTTTGCCAATAAATTACATTTTCAAATAAAAGAAAACAAGCCTACATTCATGTAATCACAAAACATAGGACACGTGTCTGCGAAAGAATCACATTGAGCCTGTCCTATTAAGTCAGGGGACGGCAACCTGCGGCTATTATAGAACTGCTTCGTGACATTATTTATTAAGAACCACCATCTCGTATTCACGAGCATGGTGGCTCTTATATTTAGATTTTTACCAAATTAGAAAAAAATGGCTCTTCTTATTATTTTGGCTTGCATCCAACATGTTTGCACATGTACATCCTTATTGTCAATCCACTGCTGGATGTGGGCCGTTCCACACCATGCACGTCACTGGGGTTATTCGACCAAACCTCACCACACCTACCAGGGTGGGTTGATGAAGGCAAGGAGCATACACACGGAGCATAGCAAGCACGGTATGAAAATAGATTTTGTAGCCACGCAACCACACAGTAGCCTATAACAACTTGGCATTGCATTGTGGTCCCCCATTCAAGCACTATCCACCAGGCTCAACTGTCCTTGGCTTCCGAGATTTGACGACATTCGTAAGCATTCCGTTTTATTTTGTCACGTACATCCAACGTGTGACTTATTTATACAAGTACACCCTTCTACAACACTATATACTAGTATTTGTTCAGTCCAGTGTGCCAATGGCTTGTTCAATTAGCATTATAGAAATTCTATAGGTCTGCTCATGCAGCCAAGGAACTGAAAAGTGTGCGGTGCAGAAGCACACATGCACTAAATTTTGATTTAAAGCTTTCGTGACTGCAGTAATTCATATTCTTAGCTCTTTCGGTAAAGTCACGTTGAAGGGAAACAATAAAATAATAATTTCAGAATCATAATAAAATAATAAAATATACTTTATTATTTTATTGTTTCCCTTCAACGTGACTTTACCAAAAGAGCTAAGAATATATATACACACATGCACTATTAATGTTAATACAATAAGCAGTTGTGGTTACTCTGGTGGCACTTATTATAAGGAACAGTGGTGGTTATTGTGGTGGTACTGTTATTGGACCCGCACCTCCGAATATCACGGTTGCATACGTACGGTGCGAAAGAAGTTCAACATACATCCACACACGCACCTCTTGGATCATGGTAGCAGCCAGGGAGTAGACGACGCCCACCCACACCTCGATGGACTGCACGCTGGTTGTATCCACCGTGCCGTTGGGCATCATCCCGTTGACTGCTCCCATAGTTCCGCCGGAGAACTTCATGACATTGAGGTCATAGATCGTGCGCAGGGCGCTCTGCACTTGATCTTTGGGAAATGCCTGAGGAGTGTACAGTCGCTTCTGAATTATATTATGCTCACTAAAGCAAAATACTTTTATACCCGTTATTATACTTACTGAAATATTAAGCTCCCATTTGTTGATTGATTAATGATTAAAGGTAATAGATTTGTATTATGTTTCTGCCTGCCCGGCTTTGAATGTAATTTACAGCAGACAACGGGCTCCCTCTGCTGAGAATACACTTAAAATGCATCCAAGGATGACGATAAGATGTTACATGGGAAGGGATGGGGATTCGATTCAAGAAGAATCAATTCCTGATTCCTTAACATTTCAGAATCATTTCTACTTTTGGTAGGAAATGGAGTAGACTGCAAACCATTGATCGATTCCAATAATTTTCATTTAAATTACACAATTGCTTTTTATTAATTCAAAAGTTACCGTACTCGAACATCTACATGTCTCTCTTTCTTTACTAAACTATGGTGGCTGTAGGAGACATTATTGGTGTGAGGTGGTTCATGTGAAAATAGCTCCTGTGTGAAT